TATTGCAGGTTGACAGATATGAACAATAGAGAAGAAGAAGCCAAAACTTATCCATTTGGAAATCCATGCTTTACTTGCTACAATATACATGGTAGTATATAGTCAGTTGAATATGACAACCCCTAAAGGGGGCCAGAATGACATTAAGTACATTTAGTATAAAAGAGAAAGTAAGCCAATGTACTGGCACTAAAAAGAGTTAGACTCTGTCAAAGGCATCAGAATGAGTCATAATTGGCAACAAAGACAAGAACAAGTAGTAGAAGAATAAGAGGAAAATAGATATCCACACATGCATAACCAACATATTCACAATCACCTTGTCCCCATGTATGCTCTCTGCGGGAGATTGTCACCAGTCTCCCTTTGCCAGCTTCCTATAATAGGAGTACAATATCATATTGTAGAGATGAACTGGAAGGTTTTTCATGGCATCGAAACTTTCTAGAAAATGTATTTTATGCAGATTTAGAAAATTGTGATGGAAGGTTTCTGGAGAACAATATTTGTGGCTCACTATCATCACATACCTTATAAACAATGCCCAAAATTAATTTCTAGTAGAGAAACTAAAAGAGTAGGTAGGGAAATGATTGGCCTTGGTAACAAGGACTGGGCTTTGTGAACAAGAAACATAGAGAGCAACCTCTAGAGAAGTCTTTGTACTTATTCTTTTTAATCTGCTAAGGTAGTAATTGAAGTAGTCAAAGAGCTTCCTTTCATTAATTATTAAAAATTAGAGCTAGCTCACCAAAAACNAAAATAATTTTGCAAGAATATAACTATCAATTTTTATTTTTTGCAAGAATATCTTTAGCATAAGAAAGTGAAGCATTCATTAAAATTTCATTCACTGTATGACGAGTTCATTCATTTGGACAACTTATTAGACGTGTTGTCATAAATATAATTACCTAATGCAAAGCAAACACACAAATAAAAGTATATAACAACAACAATGCCTCAATCTCAATCAAGTTGGGTAAGCTTATGAAAAGACTCCTAGCAAATATTGGACCTAGACTAATTGTAATAAAAGGATCTAAGACGTAATCTCAACTTACTACCACATGTATAGATCTTTTCTTTACATTGTGCTATATTTTTTGCTAGGTTTGTATGAATTCCAAGAAATTGTAGGTCTTTCGAGATAACTCCTTAAACATATAAATAGAAGACAAATCCAAAACACTATCCTTTTCAATCTTCAAGAAATTCATTTGTAAACTATGTTAGACCTTTATTTGTCTTAACATCCTCATACCGAAAGGGTGTGACATTGGTTCACTTTGTGCATATTCTCCAATATAAAAAAAATTGCACATATTGTTGATACAACCTTCTCTAAAAACTACAGACTTATATAATAAGCATTTTCAGAGAATTCCAGATACATTTGGACAATTTTCTTAGCCTATTTTCTATCAGCAGAGATGTTAATATTCAACAGGTGTGTGCTATAGAGTTTTATTCTTAATCTGTAAATGGTTTTTTTAAAAAAAGTTTCTTCTTTGTGAACACTGGATATTCTTGATAGAATATTAAAAACTTGTTCTTCTTTTCGTGTATGTTTTCCAATAGAACGAATGTTACTTTTTTTCTCTTTTAAATTGCTAATTATCTCTTGTCCTCTGTATATTTTTGGTTTATAGGTTGTAACTAATTCTGTCTATTAAGTGTTCATTTCAAAAGCTTTAATATTATTTTCTGGCTTCACATTAGTCTGGAATTTCCTATTCAACCAAAAAAGAATTTGGACTAGCCTAGTAATACTAGCAAATTACATGCATGAAATAAGCATTTAANCCGAAATCACAACTCCAAATTGCGAGTTGTGACACTAAGCTATATTCCTTCACCCATATCAGCAAGGAAAAATCTCCTTCAAGTAACCAAAGGATGTGGAGATCTTCTCATCCAAAATAGCTTAATACTAGCAAATTATGTAATAATATAAGCATTTAGCCTGAGATATATTCTTCTATTCAACCCAACGTTACTGTTTCTACAGACTGCCTGCCAAGTTTGGCGACATATATACAATAGATGATTCCATTAACCATAGAACAAATGATTACATGGGAAACATACAAGATTAATCATTAGAATATCAGCAAAGCAAAATAATTTTTGTCACAAACAATACTTGCAGTTCTAACCATCAAGAAGTTGCTTCTAGGCTAAACATATGTTGTAGGGCAATTTGTTCTTGAGATATATAACAATTTGCGAGTTACCGTATATTTCTTAAGACAAATTCTGATCAAAAGGATCCATAGAAATGTAGTCAATATGTTCTTGAAACTGAATAGCTGCCAAGAAAATCTTCTCTAACATTTCTAGACTTATCAATAACAGGATAATAAAGATTGTAATCTAGCTACACATGTACAAATATTTGAAACTTCATTCTTACTTAAAGGCACTTGTTTCAATGACTATATTTTTGTTATTCATAAACCTTAATAACATTAAAAAAAAAAAATCCACATAAGCATTGCAATAATTTTATTAAAGACTACAATAGGATTTCAATCTACTAACCTGTTAAATGATTTAATTTATTGCTCAATTGAAGATGGTGATGAAGGCTGATCAAATACTGCACTTGTAAGATGTGCGTATTTACTGTCTAACATATCATATTTACTCTCTAGCCCTTCTAGTCGTCCTTTTAGTGATTCATTTTCCTTTTTAGTAGCATTCAACTTCTCTAATAATGCAGCTTTCGAGGAGTTACCACCTTTCAACTCCTTAGAGGTTATCCCACCACCAAATTCAACTACATGACTTTTGCGTTGAGGTCCAAAGCACCTCTCTACAACCTCAATGTTTGTAAGAGACGATTTAGATTGCACCACTTCTTAGATTTTAGACTATAAATGAAAGATAATTTAATTAAAATACTGCAACACGGTAAACAAATGATGTAAAATAAAATTTATCAATAAACATACATATTTTTCATTGGATTCAGGTTCAATAAGCCTCCTGTCCTTCTTACGAGTCTCAAAAAAGATAATTGCCACATCTGGTGGATTGCCATCTTTACCTCCCTTCACATTAAAATAAACAAGGCAAAGAAATATTTGTAACAAGGATGAGATTTCTTAACAGAATTTCAAGATTTACTCACCAATTCATAAATGATCTCTCTAATTGGCTTACTACCCGTACGATAAGGCATACTCAACTTAGACCTATTGACAGAGTTTCTTGCACTTTTTTCCTAAATTAAGAACACACCAAAAAATTATGGTCAGCCACTTAATATAACAAGATGTTAGTTAATAAATAGTTATGAAATCATACCTTAAATTTTTCTAATAAAAAATGCTCCTTGACAAGCCATTCCCAATCACTCGTGTCTACCCCATTTGGCACATCTTTTAGAGCATCACGAAATGACTTAGACTTAATATTCTTGTGCAGTGATCCTCTCCAATTGTTCCATAACTTTCTCATATATTTCAAGACATGATCTCGTTGATCATTTATGTCATCACTATCAAATTTGTCCTATAATATTCACAAGTGTCAGTAAATATGAAACTATTCAGTAAACTAGAAAATAAAAATTTAACCACCTATGTGTATCAAAAGAGATGATAAATATCGTATAAAGGTTATTATACGAGTTCTAATTGATAGAGAGGGCAGATTCTTAAGTCTGTGACTTTGGATATGAAAGTGGGAGATTGGTTCTATTGTGAAAATTTTATCATCCACAACAAAGTTATAGATAAGCCATGACAGATTCATACCATAATGTGTTGCACATATTGGTTCCCTATATTGATCAGTCAAAAAGCTATTACAATATAAATATGTTCAGTTCTTTATTACTATGTAATATCACCAAAGTTGGTCTAACTTTTAATCTGTTATTGTGCTAGCTCAAAATCTTCACTCAAAGATCAAGGAAAAAATGGAGAAGATGAAACACATCAGTAAGAGGAGAATGACAATCACTCTTTGGCATTAGTTCCTGTAAATTTGCCAAAGCCAAAGGAAAACAATGATCCCGTTGTTCTTGAAACCACTGTGATAGAAGTTCTTGATGCACTGAGGCATGCTAAAGAGAAACTTCAAACTCATATGGAGAGAAGAAATATGATTAGAGTTGGCTAATTTATACGACAAGTTGTTCATGGCATACTGGATGCTTATAGAACTATAGATAATGAAGTGCCAACACTGATGATATTATATTATGTTCAAGCAAACTCACTGTTGCCATGTAATATTCTTGCAATAAAGGACATGATTTGGTGATAAACTTTCTATCCCAATTGAAAGGTCAAGGCTATGTCCTACTGGTGATCATCAAGACATATTTGGTTGGTAAGTAAAAATTATTTATAACAATCAAGAAGCATAGAGATACTGAAAAAGAGATAAATGTGGAGGTTCACCTTGTATTACATAGACACCAAAAAGACTGCCTTTAAACAATGTGAGATCTCATCTGACACCAAATTACCCAAAAAGATCATTTGGAAAGAATTTCGAAAACTCAATTTTGTTTTTGTAATTAACCAACCATTCTATGTAATGATGTAAGCTCACAAGTATTTCCTTTTCATTTGTAAAAGAAGAAAAGGAGAAGAAAAATTAATAAAGTAATGCTTTAAATCCTTACAGTGACAGCTTTCCACATGTGTTGCAGCTTATATTCTTCGATGTCCGCCCATGAGTGTACACGCAGTGGACACATATTACGATTACGAACTAATATACCCAAGTGTCTCGTAAATGAGACATGATTCTTTCCAACAACCCGATTGTGGTAAAAAGTAACGCTCAACTTTTCTCCAACTTTGAGTCCTGCAACTTTTTTACACCTATTTGTTCCTCTCACTTTTTTTGCCTTTCCAGATTCACATGGCCCTACAAATTTCAATGTAAGCTAAATATAAAGGAGTTTTTGTACAATAACAAAAAAAATATATTATAGCTTGGGACAGTAAGATACTTATTTCGTTTCTCTGAGTGTCTTGCATCAATTCTTCCTCATGAGGAAGGGGACCATCATCTTCCAATATTGGTTCAAAATCGGGAGGCGCAAAACTATCACTATGAGTTAGCTTACTCTAATCAGAAGCTAATATAATTAAAGTTTTACTTTTGCCAATCGAACCTCTCTGTTCAGCATTTACTCTTACAGATCTCAATGCTCTAAAGCTTTTCCCTCGTCCCCTTGCTAAGATACCGGGAGGAACATACACAGGCTTCACAGTCTTGGAAGTTGATTCCATTTTAGACGTCTGAGATTTTGATGTATTCATGTCAACCTAGTACAATTAAAAAACTGAGTAATAGATGTCTATCATGTCAGTTCATCACATATGAGCATATGATAGAAAAACTTAGAGATAACAAAAATTTAGGACATCAGATTCATCATATAAGAACATGTAATCAGTCTAGTAGAGTGTTAGAAATATTTTCTGAACTAGTAAATCAAATGGAATCCAATATGAAACTCTCATTATCATAATGAGTTGACAAATTAAATAAAGAGTTGATAAATATCCAAACCTTCATGAGTTCTTTTCCTTTTCAGTGAAGAATTATCTGAATCCTCTAGATCATTAATATTTTCTTGTAGAACATCAAAAGTATCACGAGGTTGAACTTTTCGTACAACATGCCAACCTTTATTGGAAAGATCGTCAACATAAAAAACTTGTGATGCTTGGTTGGCTAATACAAAAGGCTCAGTTATTTTTAGAAAACGCTGGCGGTTAACACTTACAAAGCCATATTCATCTATCTTAACTCCTTTTTCTTGGTCATATACATCAAACCACGTACATATAAATAAAACTACTCTTCCTCCACCAATAAATTATAATTCTAGAATATTTTTTAGTTCTCCATAGTAATTAATGATCTTATTAGCTTCATCTATCTCTCCAACTACAACCACTTCGCAGTTTTGAGTTGTCAAACCTTTATCATCTTGCACGTGAAACCTATATCTATTAATAAGGTAGCCATGATGACTTGTCACATATGTCGTGGGACCGCGTGACAACAAGAGCAAATCTGTCATTTTCTTACTATCATCACTTTTGTGCAGTCCTGCAATCTATCAAGATCAAACAAATATTTTAGAAAATAATATTTACATACTTGGTTTGAAAAATATTAATGTTAGCTGGTCTCACCTTTTCTTTTAACCAACTAATAAATTGCCTATCCGAATTTTCTTGAGAGGTGTCAACAGGAGTTAGTGAAAACTCTCTACAAATAATTGGAGCATAACTACATGTCATTTTAAATGAAAAAATAGAGGATGTATATAAAAGTAAATTATTGAAACAAGTTATTACTTACTCGAGAAATGGTTGAATTTCATCACAATTCTTCAAAATATAAAAATGTGCTTGCTCCAGTTCTTTTGAACCAAGTTTGTGTGGTTTGCCACCTCTTAAAGCTCTTCCAGGTTGACAAAAAATTATTAAACCTCCATCAGATTCTATAACACCACCATCATAATTCCGTTCAAGGCGATTAAACTTTATTTCCATTGTATATAAATAACTTGAACATAAGGTCATACATTCAGTTGCTAAATATCCCTCTGCAATAGAACCTTCTGCGCAAGCCCTATTACGAATAAAAGGTTTCATAAAGTATATATATCGCTCCATAGGATACATCCATCGATATTGAGAAGGTCGAGCAATCTTAGCTTCATTAGCTAAATGAATTGGCAAGTGCTCCATGACATCAAAAAATGTAGGAGGGAAGACCTTTTCTAACTTGCACTCGGTTATAGGGATTTGAGAATCTATCTGCTCTAATTCATCCATGCTTAAACATTTCTATCCAAGCACATTAAAAAATAAAGATAACTCAATAAGCGGTTCAAACACAGATTTGCATAGTATACCCCGTAGAGCAAGTGGAAGCAAATGTTGTAGAAGAACATGACAATCATGACTTTTTAAACCTGAAATTTTTCGATCTTTAAGGTTGACACACTGAGAAATATTTGATGAAAATCCATCTGGGACCTTTAGGTTCTTCAAGAAACTAAAAAGCATGTGCTTCTCTTCAGAAGATAATGTGCAACATGCCTTTGGTAAGTCATATTTATCCCCAATTTTTATTGGGTGCAGTTCTTTCCTTATGTTCATTGCGTGCAAATCCAACCGAGTGTTTATAGTATCTTTGGTTTTTTCTTTGATATTTAAGATTATCCCCAAAATATTATCACAGATATTTTTCTCAATGTGCATTATGTCTAAGTTATGCCGCAATAAAAGAGTTTTCCAATATGAAAGATTAAAGAAAATGCTCTTTTTATTCCAATTATCACTCCTACTCTCATGTGATATTTTAATCTTCTTCTTTGGATCCTTTGTTAATTGTAACCCATCTAAATAAAGCCACTTGATCAAGTATATCATCACCGCATAACTGTTTTGGTGGTAATTTTCGCTCCTTAGTACCATCAAATGACGCTTTATCATTTCTCCATTTGTGATTAAGAGGAAGAAAACGTCTATGGCCCATATAACACTGTTTTTTATAATTTTGTAATCTGATTGAGTAAGTTTCTTTATTGCAACATGGACACGCCAATTTTCCTTTTGTACTCCATCCAGACAAATTTGTATGTGCTGGAAAGTCATTAATGGTCCATAACAAAGAAGCATGTAACATAAAGTTTTGTTTAGTTGATGCATCAAAGGTTTCCACTCCAGATTCCCACAATTCTTTTAATTCTTCTATCAAAGGCCGGAGATAAACATCAATAGCATCTCCAGGACTCTCAGGACCAGGAATAATCATCGACAAGATAAAATTCTCTTTCTTCATGCATAGCCAAGGTGGTAAATTATAAGAAATAAGTACCACGGGCCAAATACTATATGAAATTTTAGAATTTTCAAATGGTTGAAAACCATCACTAGCAAGTCCAAGTCAAACTTTACGAGGCTCAGATGCAAAAGATTGATGAAGTTCATCAAACGTCTTCCACGCTTTAGAATCAGCTGGGTGCCTCATTGTTCCATCATTAACTTTTTTTGTCATGATGCCATCTCATCAAAAAAGATATTTTCGAGCACATAAACAATCTTTGTAGTCTTGGCTTTAAAGGAAAATAACGTAAAATCTTGCATGGTAACTTTTTCCCACTTTTAAATTTGGTTTCACCACTACGTTTATCCTCCTTCCATCTAGATGCACCATAAACTTTGCATGATTCAAGAGACTTATCATCCTTCCAGTATAACATACAATCATTCATACACGCATCAATCTTCTTGTAAGAAAGCCCAAGGCCCCGGATTACCTTCTTTGCTTCGTAATATGAATCAGGCAAGTTTGATCCATCAGGCAATAAATCTTCCTTCAACATCTTTAGTAACATTGTAAATGATGCATTACTCCAATTACCAATACTTTTAATATGAAGCAGCTTTACCAATGTAGAAAGTTTGGAAATTNTTTGAAAATTTTTGAATCTTGATACAGTGGTTGCTCAAAATCCTTTAAGATCCTGTAGAATCCTTTTGCTTCAAGATTTAGTTCCTCCGCAAATAACCCATCACCATCATTGTTCATATTATCTCCATCAAAAGCAGGGTATAAATCTCTTAAAATTTCATGTATTTCATCCTCACCATCATCCTCTTCATCGTTATTATCATCTACAAATTCAAAATCTAATGATGGCTCACCTAACCTCTCCCCATGGTGATACCAAAAGTATAGTTTTGGATTATTCCATGTACTATCAAATGTGATTTAACCAACTCACGTGTTCCTGAAATTACATTACAATATTTGATGCATGGACAACGTATTTCACGTGTTTCTTTCAATCTTGTAAAAGCATAATCCAAAAAGTTCTCCACCCCAAGTATGTAAACATCATCAAGTCGATCATGAATAAGTTTCATCCATTGTTTATCAGGTGCCATAATCTGATACATGCACAAGATTTATATACATATATATTCAACCAAAAAATATTAGTATAGCAATACAAAAGGAGTAAAAAATGATCATAAGCGAACAAAAATATATTAGTCACCTTTACCAAGGAATATTAGTCAATCTATTTCAAAGATTATTTTATCAATGACCTATAATCCAAGTAATAGCCTTAATATCCTTACAATAAAGGATAAATAAATATGTTAAATTTCTAATACTCTTCATATTTGAGAATGTTTTTTGGTAACCCATATCATTAAAAAGAAGCTCTGTATATTTGACAAACATGTAATTCTAAGAAGAAAATCCAAAATACTTAACGCATTAGGTTTTGAAAATAAAATCAGTATCTTCAAACAGAGAAATCACTGAAACAATAAAAGAATACCCAATTCCACAATCAATTTTTACATGTTCTAATTTTGCTATTAACACTACCAACATAAAGGATATAAATTTCTTAGGTAGGGGCATATCAATACATTTAATTTACATGAAATACATGGGTACAATGAATGAAGAGACTAAAGCATGATAAGCTCACAAATATTGCACAACTCCAAATTTAGAGGTGAAAAAAATCTAGGAGGGAAGATAAGGAAAAACTTGACCCAGTTAAGTTGCTCACAGGTTACTACACTAGCATTTGAATTTAGCAAACAAAGAATACATATTTAAACTAGCACCTACTACAAATATATTATACTAGTTTCTGTGCACGCGCGTTGCGCGTTTATCCTATATCGATGAGAATATATATTTTTTAAAACAGCATAAATAATGTATACAAAGAATTTGTTTTTGTTATAAAGATACTATTAGAAAAAGCAAAGGCATTATTTCTATATTTTTTTCATATAGAAATATAAATCATCATCTCTTATTCTTCTATTTTCTAACTTTGTAAGAGCGTTAGAAGTTAGAAGACAGTGGCTGCAAGATGTAGAGGCAAAACAAGAGGCTCAAGGTTGAATTTTCTGGTACTTGAACATATGCACAGTACTACACCTAGGCATTATCTGATAGTATTATTGAAGGATTATTGTATACAAACAATAGATACCATGAATATCTAAGATATTGTGATAAAAATGACCCTTGATGGTTTCTGATATCCAAACAAATTTACCTCTCACAACAAAAACAACAATAAATTGCCAAATGCCTAATGTATTACTCCTATTTGTTACTGGTATATGATTATCAGAACAATGATACTGTTTAATACTAAAGAATACTAGAAAGTTAAAGTTCACATAAATAAGAATATAAAATTTCATGAATGCTCATAGAAAGTTACAATAATAAAATAAACCAACCTGATGACACTTGCAGAGTAGATATGTATGCTGCAATAGGTGAATAGATAAGTTTAATAAGAATATTCAAAGTTCATATAGAAAGTAGAGTATTTCAATTGATCATATATAAGTAAATCTTCGATCAGAATTTAAATGATTATTAATGGGTTTCTTCAGCGGATGAGGTAATTCAATAAAAATTTAATTGTGTGACTGTCGATTTTTTTTCAACTGATGAGATAAATGAAGAAAGTGACTGCCTTTTGATTTTTTTAACAATTGCTCTTTCCATTACTATATGAAAGATTGCACTTTTTAATGCACCATCATTAATTATTTTCTATTACCGCAGAAAAATAAATTCATCAAAACGTAGATACACATATTTGCACAGAATACCAAAGGTCTTAGTAAAAGTTGACCATCTGAATGATCATACTATACTAAAATATGCCATGAATTTCCTTTAGATGTAATACAAAGAGCTTGACAGTTTTCAAAGAATACCAAATACATTAAAGATCACATCTGATATATTAAAAAGACATTATGGTGGTTGATTCAGTGTGCAACGTCAACTATCATTAAACTGTTAGGAATTAGAACCAATAGTTAATCCACGAAAATTCACCTCCTTGAACTAGCTAACAAAATGCTATTTCAGTACCAAACCAGAAGCACCCAATACGGCTCCAATCAAAAGCGAAATCCAACAACATACTATTTTAGTGAACAAAGACTTTCCAACTAATTCATTATCAAGATATTCTCTTAAAGGGAAACTCTAAAACAAATCCAGAGAATCAACAAGAAAGCTTTACTTAATTTTAAATGAATAGATTTGTAAAGAAATCAATTATCTAACCAAACAATTTATATCCCAAACTCGGCTTATCATTAACGGCTCATTTTGAAGCTTGATTCACAATTAGTTAGATAAAATAGAACGGGAGTGATAGAAGTCATTGCTAGGAAAACAATGTATACAGTACCAAACTCAACTTTTACTTGTCATATATAAGGCCAGGACCGGACGAATAAGAACAGATAGATAGACTTCTAGTATATTGCAATTACAAAGAAATATTTCCAACTGAAATGAGGCAGCATGGCCTTAGGATTTGGGAACCTATTCTACTGCCATTGAAGGCACTACGCATAATCAGAATGCCAGCCAAACTTTCTTATTAAGGAAAAGGTTTCTCACAGGAGCCAAAAATAATTCCATCACAGAAAGTTTCATTTATTGAAAATAAGGAGGACCAGACATTCCTTTTTTTAAAATATATTTATCTCAATGGTGATGGAAGATTCTTAACCAGTATCATAGAAAGTATAAGTACATTAAACACTAACTAAAAATAAAATGGAACACATGAAATATTAAGGAAACAAGAGAAATTGCATGAGACTTATTAGGATAGATCTTTGAGAAGAAAAGGAACTCTTGAAGGAAACTAAATGCTATTATAAAAAGCCCGCAGTTCTAACTCTAGTAGAAAATCAAAACAAGAGCATAGCAAAGAACGAGACAAGAGGGGATCTTCAGGAAATGGTAAGATAACACTTGCAATGGCAAGCACTTTCTATTTAGTGAAGTATATACTGGATTTTGCTTTAGAGTTTGGTGCATAAAACAAGGATAGATATTACACTATATGTGGTTATTCGCTTTGTATATTACTTAAAGGAAGTATATAGCAAAATAGGGAAACCGGAGATGTTGTTGTCAAGTTTAACATGAGACCTTAAGTTTCTCTTACTCACTAACACATGCAAAAAATACTAACTAGGCATTAAAAGATATATTGAAACCTCTGCTAATACCAGCTCTAAGCTCCCTAAGATGAGAATCATTCAAGCACTTATTTTTCCACTTTCTCATAACTACCCTTTGCAGCTTTATATTCCGCAATTTCTCAATCTTTCACTTTGAAAAACCAAAACTTGGATATCATGGACTTCCTCACATTCTAACTTGCATTTTTCTCATTTTTAGCATTCAACCAGTTACCAATCACCGAGACGATCAATCAGTCCAGATGATTATTTAATAGCAATTGAATAATCAACAACTACACAGATTTTGACTCCAAAATTCAAGCGAGGAAAAAAGCGACTAATTGAACTCGGAACCGTGAACTTCATCCTCGCACAGTCATNAGAAACTTAACTCCAAAATCAGAGGAGTAATATCCGAAAATCAGAGAAGAAACTTAAATCTTTGATTATCTCTTTCTGTAATTTTTTTTCTGGAATTTGAAATGCGAACAGAAAATCAAAGAAGAAAACCTAAAAGCAGAGAAGAAATTTTGCCCTTAAAACCCTAGCTTTTCACTCACTTTTTATGTTTAAAACTTAATAATTGAATTTGAACAGCCATGGTTTAGAACTGGGGTTTCATTTCATCTACACTAAAATTGACATAAAAGGGTACAATTTTGAACCTTACCTTGATGAGAAGAAACTCGAAGATGAGCACTAGTTTCAATGAAGGTGACCAGCAATTTCTCTAATTTCGCTGAATTTTACTTCGCCATTGCATGAGAAATAACAGTTGCGGTTTACAAAATAACTGTTCATAACAGAGGAGTTGGAGAAGTCTCAGGGTGTTTTCCTTCTTTTTTGGGTGGTTGACGGATCCAGTTATGGGTGGGAAAAAAGAGGAAAAAGTTAGCGCCACTTTTTTATTATTTAATAATGACAAGCTATGTTATATTTTAAGGCCAGAATATTATCCCCTAGTTAATGTTGAGCTAATAATTAGTTTTAACGACCGAAAAAAAATTTGGTTGCTATAAGTACACTTATAACGACCGGATTTTAGTACCTTCATTAAGAAGTGGTCGTTAAAAATTAAATTTCTTGTAGTGATGATAGACACACACAGGCCTTGCATGGTGACTTTGTTGGAGACTAGGATGGGAAATCATGCTAAAATGCTTCATGATTTTGGCTTCTCGGAGATGATAGAAGTGCCAGCTGAAGGACAGGCAGGCAGCATGGTGGTAATGTGGAATCATGAAGTGGTCACTGTCCACAACTTCATCCGTAGGAATCAAGAAATTCATGCAACAATAGAGGTACTACCTATTCGTAAAAAAATGGCTTTTTTCTTCAATATATGCTAGTACTGATAAGTATAATAGAAACATTATGTGGGAAAACCTAGAGAACATTAGTACAAACTATATAGGGCCATGGATGGTAGGAGGAGATTTTAACAGACATTTTGGGTTCAAATGAGAAATTGGTGGAAGACCTATTAACAATAATAGAGCTAATTACCTATGGTCTAAGATTAACAATTGTAATTTAATAGATCTTGGCTATAAAGGGTGCAAATATACTTGGTCAAATCATAGACAAAGAAATAAGGGCCTCATTATGGAGAGATTAGACAAAATTCTAGGAAATGAAGAGTGGTAGAATTATTCCCTAAAAGCTCTATAATCCACCTTCCTACGACTTATTCAGATCACAACCCAATCTTAGTAGAACTAATTCCTTGAAATAAACAAGGTCATAAACAACCTTTTCGACTAGAAACCTTTTGGTGTAAGCATCCTGAATTTCAAACAATTGTTAAAAAAAATTGGTATGGAATAGATTATTGTAGTGCTAGCAAAAACTTTGTGGTTAGTATTAAGCCTTGGAAAGACAGAACCTTTGGTGATATAATGGGAAAAAAAAAGAAAAATTCTAGCAAGGCTCCAAGGAATCCAAAAATCCAGCAACTATGCCTATAGTAATTTCCTTCAAACACTAGAATATAATTTAAAAAAGGAATATAATGATATCCTTAGAATAGAGGAGGACTACTGGAAAATGAAATCTAGGATAATGTGGCTAAATGAAGGAAATGCTAACACAAAGTTTTTTTCACATTTCAGCATCTAATAGGTGAAGAAGAAATAAGATTAATTACTTTAAAGATGATCCTGGAAATTGGCTCAATGAACACCAGTTGATCTTGTCACACGTTCTTAATTACTTTACTAATGCTTTCACCACCTCTCACTCTTTAATAGACCGGGATAGTCCACTGAAAATTCATTTCACACACCTTAATTTAGACCTTATATCACTAGATAATCCTTTACTAGACATTGAAATTAAGAGGGCTATTTTCTCTTTTAAACCCTTCAAAGCCCCAGGGCCAGATATCCTTCACCCATTTTTTCCCCAAATATACTGGAAAATTATAGGACATTCTGTAATGAATCTTTGTCATGATAGTTTCAAAAGTCAGGAAATCCCCAGAGACATAAATAGAACCTATCTTTGTCTTATCCCAAAAATCCCAAACGCTAATAATATTAAAAACTTTAGACCAATTGGCCTTTGCAATACTATTTACAAATTAATTACAAAAATTTTTGCAAATCGCCTAAAACCATTCTTAGAATAAATTATCAGTCCTTTTCAAGCCAGCTTCATGAAAAATAGAAAAGCTTCTGATAATGCAATCATTATTCAAGAATTAGTTTCCAATCTAAAGAAAGTGAAAGGCAAACAAGTCCACATGATCCTAAAAATTGATCTAGAAAAAGCCTTTGATCGTTTAAAATGGTCTTTTGTACATCATACTCTTAGGTACTTCAATACCAGTTCTATAGCAATATTAGTTAATGGCTTCATCACTAAATTCTTCGAGCCAAGTCGAGGTATCAGGCAAGGTGATCCCATATCACCTTATATCTTCATCCTATGCTTGGAAATGTTATCCAGATATATAAATCATCAGGTTGATATCCGAAAATGAGATCCAATAACCATAGGAAAAAAATGCCCAAACTTTTCTCATTTATTTTTTGCAGACGACCTTACATTAATGTCTAAAGCTAATAACAAATCATGCCAAGCTATTAAAAATGGTTTAGATTATTTTTGTAAATTGTCAGGACAAAATATTAATACCTCAAAATCAAAAATCCCTGTTTCAAAAAATTGTCCCCCTTCTTTAATTAATGTTGTTACAAATAGCCTGGGTATTAAAAAAAGTGAAAATTTTGGTACCTACCTAGGTTTTCCTATATTAATCAAAAGCCCAAGGCCATTAGATTATCAATTTATAATTGATAAAATGAGAACAAAACTAGCTGCCTGGAAAATGAAATTATTAATATAGCGGGAAGAACTAGTTTAGCCCACTCGTGCCTTAACTCAATACCAAACCACTACATGCAATACACCTTACTTCCTAAAAAGATCCTAAACAACATAGATAAAGTTCAAAGGGATTTTATATGGGGTACTACCACAGAAAAGAAAAAAATTCACCTAGTAAAATGGTCTAATATTTGCCAACAAAAATCCAAGGGAGGTCTTGGCATCCATAATGCTAATGCTAAAAATATGTGCACCTTAGCTAGCCTAGTATGGAGAATCCTTACCAATGCCACAACCCCCTGGTCTAGACTTATCATCACCTCTTATGGAACTAGTATTGCTAAAAACAAGCACTCCTTCATTTGGAAAAGCATTCAAAAGGTGTGGGAATTATGTTCAAAGGGTATTACATGGTCACTCCACTATCATACTAATATGAACATATGGCATACTCATTGGATTCCCAATTTAGGAAGCCTTAGAAATGCTGTGGAAGGCCCCCTCTCGATCAATGATTATTCCCTAAAAATTAAGGACATCTATAGTGGAAAAAAATGAGACTTCAGTAAATTAACTATTAACATCCCAAATGACATCAAAGAAAAAATTTCAAAAGTTAAAATTCGTTCAAAGAGAGTAACAAGTGATATTCCTATATGGTTACTAACTACAAAGGTTTTTTCACTACTAAGACTTGCTACAACCTTATAGAGCCCCCTCCAAACAACCAATTAGACTTCAAATGGATTTGGGATCTAAGTTGTCCTAATAAGATTAAATTCTTCTTATGGCAATGTCTTCACAATAGGATACCATGTAGGAAATACCTTGCTAATATTGGTATAAACATAGATCCAAACTGCCCTACATGCAAAAGAAATAAAGAAGAATCCATCACCCATATTTTCTTTAATTGTAAAACCACCAAACACTTTTGGGATAGTCTAGGATGGCAAAACTTCTTTAAACCACAAGGCTACCACTAGCTTCTTCAGTTAAAAGACTTTGACTACGTACTAAAGAACAAGTTTATTAATTGGAAATCTTTCTTTCCCTTTGCCATCTGGTATATCTGGTTAAATAGGAATAGCAATAATCAAAACAACACTGATAATCCTATTAACTGTGATCTAATTATTCAAAAGGCAACCGAATTCAATCTCCTAACTGGAAAAAGCCACAACCCTCAAAACAAAATCCCCATCAAAGTAAGATGGCACAAACCACCAAGAGGATGCTTCAAATTAAATATAGATGCAAGCTTCAAAAACAACAACAAAAAATATGGCCTGGGTGGTGTATTCAGAAATTCTAATGGAAGCTGGGTGGTTGGTTTTGCAAAATCTACCCATGCAAACGGATCATTAGAGGCAGAAATCAAGACACTCCTAGAGGGACTCCGAACAACGCAGGAATGCGGAATGTTCCCTCTTGAAATAGAAACAGACTCCACGGAGGTAATTCACTCTATACAATAAGGTAACAGACTATATGACGACATTGTTAATGAATGCAGGTTGTTAATGCGCCAAGAGAAGGAAGTAGCCCTCCAGCACGTATTCCGGCAAGGGAATAATGTAGCTCATCAATTGGCAAAGAAGGCAAATACTCAAGCAAAGGGGAAAAGACATTTTGTTCAACCGCCTTCTTATGTAGAATCTTTTGTGAGAAATGAACTAGAAGAACAATATGTTTTTGTTAAAAATTTATCTTATGATGCTTGCAATGTATTAGCAAACCTAGGTAATCAATGTGTCCTAAGTGACACAAAGTATGGAAGTGATGTACTAAACACTATGTAGTTTTAATATCAATATTTCCAGTTTGCTCAAAAAACAATGTCAAAATTTTGTGGGTAAAGCATCTCATTTTAGTTTTTGTAAAATGAAAGAGAAAGAGATCTAAAATAGGTGGGAAAAAATGGAATCAGATCACAAAAGACCAAAAAGAAATTACCACAAAAAGAAGCATTATTGGTCTGGAGTATTTATGTCTAATATATTGTTTAACCAAACAGAAATATTTTGAAAGGAAAATCAATAAATTCAGATTAAAAAATATATAGCAAATGAAAACCAATTAAAATCCAAATTGAAAAATACAATCATCAGGAAAGTAGATTTGTCACATTACTTAACTAAATTATATCTTTGATTACTGCAACATTTATGCGGTCGTTTATCTTTTAATTTCACAGAAGGACAACCAAGTTAGTCTTGTGTTTGTTCGAAGAGATGTCATTTGGCAGCCATTTCAATGAGTTTTCATATCTTCGATGTTGGAATAGTAAGAAATCTATTTAAAAATTATTTTACATAAGAAAAAAGAATATATAGGTGAATAAATTATTTTAATGGGAGAAGAACAAAAGGTGAACAAAAATTTGTTTGGTTGTTCTTTAAAAGGATCTAAACTATAAGTGAAGAAGAGAGGCCCATACATGCTTCGTTGTATATGAAGCGTTGTAACATTAATGAAAATTTTAATTATGAAGCGTGCTTGGACCTTAGATTATTTAGGACGGTTAGGGTATTTAAGTTATTTAAAAGAGTATTTTAGTAGTTTGACTTTTTAGTTTTAGAGTTCCTACTTCTAATAATATATAGATTATCATATCAAAAGTTATTATATCGGATATTTAATACTATTGTTTTGGTTGAATTATATATTATATTGATTAAAACCTTAATGTGTATTTCTTATTTTAATGTTTTAAATTTTACTAAAATAGAAATAAAAACTTAATCAGTATCCTCCATAATAAATATTATAAAATAATTTCTCTGTTTAAATTATCCTATTGTAAAATGAACTTTGGCACTTGATATTGGCCAAATAAGGGGCTCTAACATTGCTAAAAAATGAATCTAAGGTAGGCTGTTAGGTGAGATAGGAAATACAATAATTTTGGGGACTTAGATAATATAATTGGTTGAACGTAGCACTGTAACGGTGATGTTAGAGCTGCACAACAAGCAACCCACCATCTCCTCCGTCTCTTCACCTAATACTAATACAAGACAGTGAAATATTCCCGATTTCAGGTGGAAAGTGGAAACCGAATTTGGAATGAGAGAGCAATTCTTCATCACCGTGAAATCTTATTGTTGAGTATAAGTATGGCAGAATCAGGTAAGAATTAATTTTACTAAATCACTCAAGCGCAAAGTCCGTTTATATTACTAGTTTTTTATTAAGAATTTATTGCTTATGGTTTAGATAACTTTGACATGTGTGGAGTTGGTTACACTTATAGTTGCTTCGTCTTAATGGTCAATCAAGACCCAACTTCTTTTCCAACGATCTTGTTTTGTTGGAATACCATGATTTGATGGTCTCATTGGGTTTTTTGTTCCATTTATTATACGGATATTAGATGTTTCATTCTAGGGCTACTGTTTTCTGGTGTGATATCTGCACCTCCTACCCGAAAGCAGTTGAATATACTACCAAGGGCTAGATCCGCCTCTGGACTGCTAGAGGGATTAGAAGATAGATACCAATTACCATGTGTCAAATGAGTGGATCATGTGGCCACTGTTTCTTGCATATTTTCACTTTGTCACTTGTATATCTTAGCATTAATCCTTTTGCTGGTTGAAAAGATCAGTCAACCTCAAAAATAGATTGTACATGCCTGAGTTTCTCGACTACTTTGGAACCGAGAAGTAGTTTTTTGATAATACATAGACAAAAGGAAAAAGCTCACCTGATTTAGTTGATAGACCTATGCCCATAGCAGGGGTAGAAAAATATAGACTGCCTTGCCCAGGCTTTCTTAATCCCATTTTGAGCGCTGTGGTACTCATTTCCCCTTGCTAACTTGGTCATGGGAAGATATCAATAAATGATAAATTATTGCCTTGGCTCTGCCCTCTGGCAGGGGGTACTGGACGGGATACTAAGCCCTCTGAGGCACTCAGTATAGCTAGATGGTATCTCTGAACTAATCGGTCAAATTGTTGAGAATATGAGATTACCCTCTTCTAGCGACATGGTTGTGACAATCACTATTTGTATTTTGTACTTTGCAATCCAGTTATTGCCCAAAATGCAAATTAAGCATGCCGAACTGCAGTGTCTAGCAGAAATGTTTGCTCGAATCCATCTTCTCGATTGAACTGATGTAGTTTTTCCATCCCCGTCTACCTTCTCCAAGTGAGCTCTTTCTATTGATCCTTTTCCCTGTAACTCTCTCTTCTTCTATTAATCCATCATCCCAAAAATGTGACCCGTTAACCGGCCAACAAAGTGACAAAGTTTGATAGAAATCATGAAGAATCATTTCACTTGACCATTTGTCACTTGCGCAAGAATTAAGCCATAATTTAGTAGTATGTATGCTAATGACAGAACATGGATTTGTAAGCTGCCTTGAGAGGAAATACCTCTTGACAAAGGAAAAAATAAATCATCAACTGAAGACTTACATACAGGCTTCTTGATTGTGCGCTTGTTTTCCTTGTAGGGTTAGGGTGGTCTAAGGACTATCTACTAGCAGCATTAGTAGTTCTTATTGTTGTTTCGCCTAAAAGATACTTGCGATGTAAATAGGCGTTCACTTTTGAGATCAGTCAATTAGGCTTGTTATATGTCTGCTATCAGGAGCCAGTGTGGGCAGACTGAAAGACATAAGCTTAAGCGCCCTTTAAAGAATCAATGCCTAATGTAGTTAGCCCCATGGGTAGCACCAGCTTGGATCAAAATCTTCTTATGTTGACAGAGTACAACCAGAAGAAAATTGCAGACACCTACTAAAGTAAAGGGAGTAAGTGATGAAGAGTGTGAAAATAATTCAATGTGGCTTTGGCCAAGGAGCATTAGTTCTTAATATTCACAAGTGAGTCGGTGACTGAAAAGAAAAGTGGTCGTTGAGGAAACATTGTCTAGTAAATCGCTTACTGACCTGCCAAAGACTACTTGCAATTCTAAGAGCCTTCTTTTGTTTGAAAACTAAGGCACATGAGTGACTTCAGTTGAAGCCTATTGACGACATAGGGAACACGAGCAAAAGCTGGATGCAGCTTGTCCTAAGCTATTAAGGGCCAGCTAGTCCCCCTCGCAGGACAGTGAAACTAATGAGCCTGGTTCATCACAAAAAACAAGATCTCTCTCTTTCTCTTTCCAAATGGTCCATAAATGATGGAGCAATCTTTCAAGCTCTGTTTATCATTCCACTCCTTTGTCTGAATTTTCAGCAGAAAAGTATGTCTTCAACGTCTTTTGGCATCACCCGTTTTAATCCAAATATGTTTTAATCTGCTGTCTGCAATTTGGAGGTGACTGGACAACGGAGTAATAAGTGCTTTTTGTCCCCCCTCCCCCCCCCCCAAACCCTTTTCTACACATGAAGCACCAATTACTGAGAAGTTATTCCTTGTTATGATAATTTGGCAGTAAATAGCTATGCAATCAGCTGTCTGTATGAAAGAAATGTGAACATCCTGGGATCCAAATGAGGGAGAGCCATCCGCCATGTTTTCCCTTTTCTGTTATCATTTATAAAAGATTAAGCAGTGAAGATTCCTGAACTCTGGGCATCCCAAATCCATGTATCAGGAACATCAGGAGAGATATTGACACCTGAGAAACATATAACTGCAAAACCTAAGCAGATATATAAGTAGTACCTAATGACCTATAAAAGAAGTACCTAATGGTATGAACTAACTGCAATTTGACCAACGAATTACTGTACTTGGTAATATTTCTACCTCTAACATCTTATTTTTTAAGCTTGAAGCATAACATTTGGAGCTTGGTATCATTGGATAGTGAGGAATTACTTGAAACTGGCTTCTTCCACTATGCTCATGTCTCTCTCCGATTGAGCGTATATTCATGTGGATCTAGTTAGAGGATAGAGAATGAGGAAAAAGGGAGTTAAAAAAGTAAAATATAGTACTATCACATTTTCCTTTTTCTTTTACTTTCTGGAAACCTAGAGAGAGCATATGACAAAGTCCCTATAGAGGTCCTTTGGAGATGTTTGGAGGCTAGAGGTATGCCTGTAGCATACACTAGGGTAATTAATGACATGTATGATGGAGCAAGGACCTGGGGTAAGGACAGTAGGAGGGGACTCGGAACACTTTCTTGTTGTGATGGGGTTGCACCAAGTCAGCTCTTAGTCCGTTTTTATTTGCCTTGGTGATGGACGTACTGACATAACACATTCAAGGGGAGGTGTCATGGTGTATGTTATTCTAAGTTGCTCGGACTCGGGTGCGGGTGTTCGATACGGGTGCGGATCTAGAGATCAGATCTTTCATGATCTAAATTTAAAGATTCGGGGGTACGGATACGGGTGAGGGGATTCGGCTAAAAATAATTCAATTATTTAAAAATAGAGTTATAAAAATGTCTAAATTATGAGACATTATGTGGAAAACTTACAAGGTATTCCGAAAAGGAGAAAATATTGAACAAGAGTAGAATTTTAGAAGGAGATAAAAGGAAAATGACTGACATAGAAATTTATATATACAAGGTATTCCATTTTCTTCCATATCACCCTAGCTTTTGATTTGTTTTCAAAAATCATTGTATCTGTCCCAAATTTCTCAACCAAAGTACCCAAAACCGGTTGACCAGATCCGACACGGATCCCACACCCATACCCACACCCACGTCGTGTCGACACGGGTGCGGCACTGAAAGTGAAGAGTCCGAGCAACTTAGATGTTATTTGCTGATGATTTAGTACTGATTGACGAGATGCGAAGCGGAGTTAACACGAGGCTGGAGGTTTGACGATAGACCCTAGAATCGAAAGGTTTCAAGTTGAGCAGGACCAAAACAGAATACTTGGAGAACAAGTTCAGTGACGCAACTCATGAAGTGGACGTGGACGTAAGGCTTGACTTACATGTCATCCCCAAGAGAGGGAGTTTCAAGTACCTTGGGTCCGTAATCCAAGGTAATGGGAAGATTGACGAAGATGTCGCAGATGGTGTTGGAGCAGGGTGGATGAAATGGAGGCTCGCATCTGGTGTTTTGTGTGATAAGAATGTGCCACAAAGATTTAAAGGTAAGTCTACAAAGCGGTGGTCAAACCGACTATGTTGTATGCGGCGGACTGTTGGCCATTCAAGAACTCCCGTGTCGAGAAAATGAAAGTAGCAGAAATGAGGATGCCGAGATGGATATGTAGGCAAACCAGGAGAGATAAGATTAGGGATAACGGTATTCGGGACAAGGTGGGAGTGGCCGACGTGGTGGACAAGATGCGGGAAGTGAGGCTGAGATGTTACGGGCATGTGAAGAGGAGATGCACAGATACCCCAGTGAGGAGGTGCGAGAGGTTGTCCATGGTGGGTCTAAGGAGAGGGAGAGGTAGGCCTAAGAAGAAATCAGGGAGAGGTGATTAGGTAGGAACATGATGGTTACAAGTTCTTGGCTTTTAGCATAAAAAGGTTTTACTTCGGCAACACGCAGAAAACCTCTGTCCGGTTGCCATTATTGTCATCCGCTCATCCACACCCAACCTGTGAAAGCTTGTCATAGCATAAGCACTTGAAACAGTGTCTTCCTGAAAACAGTTGTTTTTCCTGGGAAAATATTGATGTGTGCTTTTATGTTTGTGACCTTCTGTAAATTGGTTATTTGCTGCAATAGAAGATTTTAGCAACTGTTGCTATTTCATGTTTCAGGATACAATATAAATGATTTGGTTCGAGAAGGCCATTTTAGGTGGTTGAGACCTGCAGAAGTTGTCTTTATACTACAGAATCATGAGGACCAGCAGCTTGCTAATCAACCACCTCAAAAGCCAGCTAGTAGTCTCCTCGCTCTTTACTTTTTGTTTCCATTTCAGTAAGATGTAAAATATCTATTGACAACATTGATCAATTAAAAAAAGCATATCTAGTGATAATCCTCTGACAGAACCATGTCATATTATCCTCTCTTCCCTTTGCTATCTTACAAAATTGGTTGATATCCGCAGGTGGATCTATGTTTCTCTTTAACAAGAGGGTCCTCAGGTACTTCCGTAAAGATGGTCATAGTTGGCGTAAGAAGAAGGATGGAAGAACTGTAGGGGAGGCACATGAGCGGCTTAAGGTAACAATTGGTAGAAAACGTCATGTTTATTCTTTATTGAACAACACAAATGACATTTTTGTCTAAACATTTGTTGTATATTTCACGTGGAGGGAGGTGTTAGTCATCCCGGCTAGGGACATTTTTGTTGGTTGACTCTCGAAATGACATCTTGAAAAAAAAAAGAAAAAAAGAAAAAAAGAAAAAAAAGATAAAAAAACCTATGATGTTCGTGTTTCAGTTTTCCCGATATTTTTCATTGGGTGAGAAGTTTCTCTTTGTCTCTGCTGTGGCTAGGTTGGGAATGCTGAAGCCCTAAATTGTTATTATGCACATGGAGAGAAGAATCCTAACTTCCAGCGGCGAAGCTATTGGATGTTGGATCCGTGAGTTTATTTGCTAAATCTGTAATCTAGTCTTTTGCTTCTAGATTTGGAGCAGTTTAAGAAAGAAGTTCTGAACTCCTTAGGAATTTAGGGCTCTGAATGGATAAGGAGCACACATGAGAAATTTAACTAAAATTCTAGGGCTCCCTTTTCTTTCATCTCTGTCTCTCTCTCTCTCTCTCTCTCTCTCTCAGACCAAAGTTTGGACCAGGAACTGATTATTTTTTCCCCTTTTTTGTTCTCAATTTTGCATGCTTGACAGTGCATACGAGCACATTGTCCTGGTTCACTACAGAGATATAACTGAGGTCAGTCTTCAGGAACCCAATTGTACAAAAATCCCATATTCTGACATGAAATCTTGCTACTAATTTAACTCTATTTTCATCAAGTCATCCATGAAAAGATTCCTGCTTTGTAAAGTTTTTCTATCTTAGTCCAGTCATTGTCTCTTTTTGATTGTTTCTGTAATTTTTCATGTAAAAGAAGCTAAAAAATTGACACTGGACCAGAAAAGTTTCTATAATTGATTTCAGCATCTAATGCTATCTCAGGGAACTTAATATTTGCTTGGTGCATCTCTATTAAGCAGTTTATTAGCTACAGTTTGAATATGATAGGATCTAGTATGTCAAGCTATTTAAGCAATCTTAACGGCACTAGTTTCACTTATGACCCTAGGGGATGCAGATTGCAGCGTTCATGTCACAGTCATCTCCAATTTCCTCTACTTTCTCTCTGAGTCCCAGCTTATATTCTACTCAACATCCAGGCTTTACTGTTTTTGGCAGTGAATCTTATCAACAGTACCCGAATGAATCTAGCCCTGGATCTGGGGAAGTTTGTTCTGATGCAGGCATCAATGGTAAAGGGATGAACATCTCAGACATCACCGGGAGAACGGAGGGGGTGAGCAGCTCACCACGGGTTGAGATAAGTCAAGCATTGCGTAAACTTGAGGAGCAGTTAAGTTTAAATGATGATAGTTTGGAACAAATTGATCCACTATATAGTGAAATTGAGAACTCGGATGATGTTGAAAATTTTGTACATGATAATAATTCACTAGTCCAGATCCAGCACAAGTCAAACAATCTTCTGTTGCAGCCTCATTCAGGTTTCTTTCATTTTTTCCTGCCACAAGATTATTATTAAATGCAGATATACATGCTTATCATTTGTCACTGCATTAAATTCCTGTTTTAATCATGCAAACTGAAACTCAGAGATTTTCTTCTTTCCTTGTACTTTGTTGGGAACAAGGTGGTTATTTTGTCAATTTGATTAGTGCACTTGGCTAGTTGTGCTTAGACTTGAAAATGTTATTACTCGATACTCGGTTGATATCTTTTGTTTGAATGCTAGTCCTTTTGATAGCTTGTTTGAGAAAGAAGTACCTACAATAGAATTCTTCTACCTTTTGTTTTCACTAATCATCAAGCTCGGTTGAATGTTGATTGATAACTTGGCTTCTGCTAGCTCAGTCATGAGTTAAATAAACTAAGGCCATTTAGGCCTTTCATAGTGTTAGAATATCTATGTGAATATATATGTAATTAGTTCTAGTCCTGTATGTAATAGGAGTAGATTATATATATTATATGTACTTATAAATAAATAGGGTTTATTGTATGACAATTAATATCAATAATAGATTTTTCTCCCGTGCATTCTTACATGCTATTAGCTCAGTCATTTTTTTTTTCCGGCGTAAACAGTAATTTTCAGAAAAATTTCTGCTTTTTCCGGCGTAAACATTGTAATGGCATTCGTATAAGAAGCCTTTGACTTACAATCCATTGGATCCAATGCTTGAATTCAATACCGGATTATATTGAGTTCCTTCAGTACAAAACATGTAAACAGACATCTTCAGGTATAGCTTCCGTTGTTCAAACAGGTAGTAGTGTGACTTGTGTCTCCCAGTCTTCAACCTCCGAGTCTTGGGTCATTGATTCAGGTGCATCTGATCACATTTTTGGTAACAAATCTCTTTTCACTACTATTTCATGTTCTCAATCTCTTCCAAGTTCCAACAGTCACAATAGCCAATGGGTCTCAAACCATGGCAACCGGAATAGGTCAAGCAAGTCCTCTTCCTTCCTTACCTTTAGATTCAGTTCTTTATGTTCCCGGTAGTCCTAATCTCATAGCCGTTAGTTGCTTAACCAAATCACTTAAATGCTCTGTTTAATTCTTGATGACCTTGTTTTTATACAGGAACGCAGTACGGGGCGGATTATTGGTACCGGGCGTGAATCAAATGGACTTTATTACCTTATCCTTGCAAAAACATGTGGACTCACATCTTATCTTCCTTCAACAACTCATCATGTTACTGATTCACCAGATTTATTACATAAACGGTTGGGACATCCCAGTTTGTCGAAACTTCAAAAAATGGTACCTGGTTTATCTCACTTGTCCACTCTAGAATGTGAGTCATGTCAGCTCGGTAAGCATACTCGCTCCCATTTCCCTCGGCGTCCTGATAATCGAGCAGAGTCACCTTTCACTTTAGTTCATTCAGATGTTTGGGGTCCTAGTCGGGTTAGTTCTACCATGGGATTCTGCTACTTTGTCAGTTTCATTGATTGATTATTCTAGGTGCACTTGGATATTTTTGATGAAAAATTGATCTGAGTTGTTTTCTATTTTCCTGACCTTCCGCGTTGAAATTCAAAATCAATTTGGGGTTTTTATCCGTACATTTCGTAGTGATAATGTCCTAGAGTATTTGTCTTCCCCATTTCAGCAGTTTATGAACTCTCATGGAACCATTCATCAAGCATCTTGTCCGTACACATCTAAACAAAATAGGGTTGCTGAAAGAAAGAACAAACATCTTATTGAAACTGCTCGTACCCTACTCATACAATATCATCTTCCGTTGCGTTTTTGGGGGAATGCCGTTCTCACATCTTGTTATCTTATTAATCGTATGCCATCCTCAGCTATCCAAAATCAAGTTCCATTCACTGTCTTGTTTCCCCATTTACCTTTGTTCTCTCTTCCACCCCTGCCTTTGGGAGCACGTGTTTTGTTCAGAACCATACTCCAAGAAAAGATAAGTTAGTTACTCGTGCTCTTAAGTGCGTATTTCTGGGTTACTCGAGAACACAAAAGGGATATCGATGCTATTCACCTGACCTCTAGCGGTACCTTATGTTTGCTGATGTTACCTTCTTTGAAACCCAGTCATACTTCACAGGTCCAAGGGATCATTTAGATATTTCTGAGGTACTATCAGTTCCATCTTTTGGAGATTCAGTCACTATCTCCGATTCATCTTCCTCCATAACTCCAGCTCCACCACCTACAATTCCAGTTCTAGTTCTAGCTCCACCACTTACAGCTCCAGTTCCAGCTCCACTATCTGCACCTCCAGTTCCAGCTCCACCACTTATAACTCCAGTTCCATCACCTAGTCCAGTTCAACCTTCTATAGCTCCACCACTCCTGGCTTACCATCGTCGTCTGCGCCCAGCATCAGGCTCAACTGATTCACGTCCTGCACCTGACCCTGCTCCTACTGCGGACTTGTGTCCTCCTAGTCCACCAATTGCACTTCGGAAAGGTATATGGTCCAAACTTAATCCTAATCCACATTATGTCGGTTTAAGTTATCATCGTCTGTCATCACCCCATTATGCATTTGTATCATCTTTGTCTTTTGTTTCTATCCCTAAGTCTACACGTGAAGCACTGTCTCATCCAGGATGGCGACATGCTATGATTGACGAGATGTCTGCTTTACATACGAGTGGTACTTGGGAGCTTGCTCCTCTTCCTTCAGGTAAATCTACTGTTGGTTGTCGTTGAGTGTATGCAGTCAAAGTTGGTCCAAATGGACAAGTTGATCGACTTAAGGCTCGTTTTGTTGCCAAAGGGTATACTCAGATATTTGGGCTCGATTACAGTGATGCTTTCTCTCCCGTGGCTAAGATAGCATCAGTCCGCCTTTTTCTATCCATGGCTGTTGTTCGCCATTGGCCTCTCTATCAGTTGGACATTAAGAATGCTTTTTTTCACGGTGACCTTGAGGATGAAGTTTATATGGAGCAACCACCTGGTTTTGTTACTCAGGGGGAGTCTAATGGCCTTGTATGTCGGTTGCGTCGGTCCCTCTATGGTCTAAAGCAGTCTTCTTAAGCCTAGTTTGGTAAGTTCAACACAGTTATTCAGGAGTTTGACATGGCTCGTAGTGAAGCTGATCACTCTCTGTTTTATCGGCATTCTGTTTCAAATCTATGTATTTATCTAGTGGTTTATGTTGGTGATATTGTTATTACCGGCAATGATCAGGATGGTATTACTAAGTTGAAGCAACATCTCTTTCAGCACTTTCAGACTAAGGATCTGAGCAGATTGAAGTATTTTTTGGGTATTGAGGTTGCTCAGTCTATCTCAGGTATTGTGATCTCACAACGGAAGTATGCCTTAGACATTCTTGAGGAGACAGAAATGACAGGCTGCAGACCTGTTGACATTCCTATGGATCCGAATCCTAAACTTCTGCCAGGACAGGAGGAGCTGGTTAGCGATCCTGCAAGATATAGGCGACTGGTTGGTAAATTAAATTACCTTACAATGACTAGACCTGGCATTTTCTTTCCTGTGAGTGTTGTGAGCCAGTTTATGGATTCTCCCTGTGATAGTCATTGAATCCCGTTGTCTGCATTCTTCGGTATATAAAATCAGCTCCAGGCATAATACTATTGTTTGAGGATCGAGGCTATGAGCAGATTGTTGGATACTCGGATGCTGATTGGGCAGGATCACCTTCTGATAGACGTTCTACGTCTGGATATTGTGTTTTAGTAGGAGGTAACTTGGTGTCCTGGAAGAGCAAGAAACAAAATGTCGTTGCTCGGTCTAGTGCAGAAGCAGAATATCGAGCAATGGCGATGGCAACATGTGAGCTTGATGAACATATGGAGGCCATGTTTTCTACAACAATGGAGGCTTATTGGGCTCATGAAGGTGCGAATGGATTTGGAGAATTGGGCCACGAATTTAAAATGCTTACACTAACTTGGTATCCTGGAAGAGCAAGAAACAAAATGTCGTTGCTCGGTCTAGTGCAGAAGCAGAATATCGAGCAATGGCGATGGCAACATGTGAGCTTGATGAACATATGGAGGCCATGTTTTCTACAACAATGGAGGCTTATTGGGCTCATGAAGGTGCCAACGGATTTGGAGAATTGGGCCACGAATTTAAAATGCTTACACTAATTAGCCTTAGTCCAATTGAGGCCCAAGAATTTCAAGCAATTGAAGAAGTCCAAGAATCCATTCAAGATTAGGATTTCTTTTCCTTAAAGATTGAGATTTCTTATTTCTTTTCAACCCACTTTTTTGACAAGAGTGGGCTGCTCTAGTGGTGAGCACCCTCCACTTCCAATCAAGAGGTTGTGAGTTCGAGTCACCCCAAGAGCAAGGTGGGGAGTTCTTGGAGGGAGGGATGTCGAGGGTCTATTGGAAACAGTCTCTCTACCCCATGGTAGGGGTAAGGTCTGCGTACACACTACCCTCCCCAGACCCCACTAGTGAGATTATACTGGGTGGTTGTTGTTGTTGTTTCCTAATAATTTAATTTTTGTTGTAGTAGGATTATATTTGTAGTTCTAGTCAAATTAGGATAGTTAGTTGGTATCCTATTCCTACGAGAATTCTTTTTCCTATTTTAGTTAGGATAGATTTTTTTTGCCTTATTCTTATTCTAATTTAATTAGGATTAGTTTTCCTTAACCTTGTCAACTTTACTCATTGTAAGGCCTATTTAAAGGGCTTAATATGCTTAAAATAAACATTGGTGATTAGTTTTTCTAAGTTTTTGATTCAAAAACGTGATTGATCTTTTATTTCATTGTTCTTCCTTTGTTAAACGCTTCTTGCAATCTTGCGGGATTGAGGAACGTGTGGGTGAGGTTTCTTTCCATCTTACATTCTTCTAACGTGAGTTTGAAGAACGCTTTCGTTAGTTTTGTGAAAAACTTTAGCGGGGTGCTTTTGTTTTTCTCTCTTATGTGTACTTGAGAGGTGCAAAACCTTGAAAGTACATCAGAGCTAGTTCGGATCTAACAGTTGCTCAAGGAGTTAAAATTTGGTGAGATCAGCCAAATGGAACTTGTGTGTGATAATCAAGCTGCCCTTCATATTGCATCGAATCCGGTGTTCCATGAAAGATTTAAATACATTGAGATTGACTGTCACTTCGTCAGAGAAAAGATACTCTCAGGAGATATTACAGAAGTCGAATGATCAGCTTGCAGATATTTTCACGAAGTCCCACACTGGTCCTCGTATTAGTTATATAGGTAACAAGCTCGGTACATATGATTTTGAAAACATAACTAGTTATAGTTTTTTGAACACATAACTAATTATAATTTTTTATATAACTAGTTCTTCCCTGAATGGGAAAATTTTATTTTGAACACATAACTAGTTATAGTTTTTTATAAGGTGCAAATCAAGGAAGAGTACCTTTTTTTCCCCAAAGTTTTGATTTGCTTATGTTAAGTACAAATAATTCTTTTAAGTGAACCCTTTTTGGGTTACTAGTTTTAGCTTATATGCGCTGCACGTGTACCTGTCACAATGTGTCTTTTTTTCAAAAAAACATTTATTAATTAAATACTAAAAATTGTGCTTGAGTTATAAAATAAAAGTGTAAGATATGTAGATATAGATAAATAAGCTAAGAATTTTTAACAGAATCTAACTGGTGATTTTTTCCACGTGGACATTTACTGCCACGCTTGAGATTGTCTATCTGCCTTTTCTTTAGCACCAATGCTTCTGATTTAGAAGCAAGAAATACTAAGAACTCATGCATTTCTAATTTAGAAGCAACAAATACTGAGGAGTACTGATGATAGTGTTGTTTGTAGGAGAGAGCAGTGAATCGCAGCATCAACTCTTGAACCTGGATGGTAACATATGGAAAGAGATGCTGGATCACTGCAGAAGCTTTCCGGCTGCTGAGTCACCAGCTAAATGTTTTGAAAAGTTGGATGAGAATGTGAGTAAGTGTCTTTGAAATTAATTTTTATTTCATATGCCTGTATCTTTTATTGGCATGGTCTTTTGCACCTGCGTCTCATTAGGAATATTGAGTCCTTGCTGACTTGTCACTGCGGCTGAAGCTGTGTATGAATAGCAGCTTGTGCACAATATGGCACTATATAAACCATACTTGACCTTATCTCCTGGCATTTCTAAATAATTCTGCTGCCCCTTATAACCACCTATTCAGCTATTTATTTCAACATTGTCTCTATTCTCCGTCCTCCGCCTAACTTGTCTGCGCTCACTCAGGGAACGCTACAAACCTCGTCAGGAGTGGGACCGATAGAAGCAACCGAAAGTGATAGGTGGCTTAAATTTGGTGGAAAAGCTCTGAAATGTGAGCTCCTTTTGAAAATCCAGATGTTCTTTTTTTGTTTTGGGGATAAGTTGGAAAATCCAGATGATTAGTTATATCTACTACATATAAAATCTTGTGCAGTTTCTTGATCTCCGAAAAATAAACCCTGTTGCTTTGCAGCTTCTTTGACAAATTTTAAGCAAGTTGAAGATTTCAAGTATCCTGCATGTGCACGAATAAATACTTATGGATCCTATTCTGACCAATATACAACAATATTTGACCAAGATCAGATTGGAACATCATTTGAAGATGATATGAGCTTAACCATTGCCCAGAAGCAGAAATTTACTATTCATGATATATCTCCTGATTGGGGGTATTCATCTGAGGCAACAAAGGTATATCTCATGATTTAGTTGTCTTTGCGTGTTTACTGTTGAACATTTCTACTTTCCATTTTTTTGTGGTTCTTGTTGAATATTTCTTTTCAGCTTGCGCAATTAATTTTGACGTTGCAACTGACTGCTTACATATGTTTTTAACATCAAAATTTAGTTTCAGTTTTTTATGCTCTAACAAAGCAACTCTTGAAGTGGAGGAACATTGTAAATGAATTTTCACCATCATCAAATAATCTGGCATGTTTGCAGTTTGCCCCTGATGAAGGCATATTCTGAAAATTTTGGAGTGTCAGATGCTCCATCGTAGGATATCGTGATATTTATATGTTCATTGAGATGTTTCATTATCCAGTTATTTGAACTTCATCTATTTAGTGCAGATAGTTATAGTTGGATCGTTTCTCTGCAATCCATCAGAGTATACATGGACTTGTATGTTTGATGATATTGAAGTTCCTGTTCAGATCATCAATGAAGGTGCCATCCGTTGCCAGGCGCCTCCTCACTTGCCATGTAAAGTCACACTCTGTGTTACTACTGGCAATAGGGTATCATGCAGTGAAGTATGGGAGTTTGAATACCGGGTTAAGTTTGATGATCATGGTCAAAAGAATTTAGCTGAAGTAGGAGGAGCTTGTAAGAGTTCAGAGGAACTGTTGCTCCTTGTCAGATTTGTACAGATGCTTCTGTCTGACTCATCAGTGCAGAAAGGAGATGGTTCTGGATCAAGCAATGATATCTTGGAAAACTCCAAGGCGAGCGAAGATTCATGGAGCCAAGTTATTGAATCTCTTTTATTTGGAACTTCAACATCAATGGTAACCGTTGATTGGCTTCTTCAAGAGCTTTTGAAGGACAGATTGAAGCAGTGGCTTTCATCCAAATTGCAAGTAAAAAATAACCAAATGGGTTATTCCTTCTCCAGGAAAGAACAAGGGATCATACACATGGTTGCTGGCCTGGGGTTCGAGTGGGCCTTGCACCCAATTCTAGATGCTGGAGTAGGTGTTAACTTCCGTGATATTAATGGCTGGACTGCCCTGCACTGGGCTGCACGCTTTGGAAGGTAACTGAATAAAATTGGTTGCTTGACAAACTGCTGGCTTCCATGACTCGCTTGGTACTCAATTAACAATATAAACTACATTTAAGGATCTTTAGGAAGTCAAATATGCGAGTTAGATATAAATAGAGTAATGGCGATAAACAAGAAACAATCCTTAGGAAAAGCCAGAATTATTTGGATTTGGAAGTAATACCTCTCCTATACTCCCTAAATAAGGACTCGTCCTAGAAAGACTAGCTGAGAAACATGTATTGTTTTACATAAATCTGTTAACATTGTAAAGTATGAATTTTACGGCTTTATGGACCGGAGAAAAAAAATAAGGACTCATCCTAGAAAGACTAGCTGAGAAACATGTATTGTTTTACATAAATCTGTTAACATTGTAAAGTATGAATTTTACGGCTTTATGGACCGGAGAAAAAAAATAAGGACTCATCCTAGAAAGACTAGCTGAGAAACATGTATTGTTTTACATAAATCTGTTAACATTGTAAAGTATGAATTTTACGGCTTTATGGACCGGAGAAAAAGTTTTTCTATTTTCTTATGATATGTCTTTATTGAATGAAATTTGTCTTCTCTGCAACTTTTAGTACGGAAGAATAGCAAACATGAAGTTTCTTACGATACCTCTTGAATTGTTATTGAAGAGAATTGGTCTATTCTGCAAATTTTAGTTCACAAGAAAAATAAGCATGAACGTTTTTGGAATCGATCACTCAAGTTATAGCATCTTTACATGAAGAAACGTGCAGTCATGCACAATTTGCACTTTCCAAATTTATCGTAATATATTGATAACATGAAAAGGATAGGTTTGAAATACTTCATGTATACTGATTGTGATGAGAACCCAAGGTGTGGAAAAACAGTTGTTAATGTTTACCATGTTTTGCTTGAGATTTTATGCTTTCTTTCTTTAGTGCTTCCAGAGACAACGGTGAACTCTTCTGAATGGTTTGGGGGCAGAATGAGGGTATTTTTTTTTTTTTTAAATTTTAATAAGGCAGATTGAGGGTCTTTATGCATATGAATTGCTTACCCTTGCGCTTTCTAGCAATGTTTTGGAGAAAGGCGGAGAGAAGCCTGGACTGATGGGAATACATGTTCTTATATTCCTTGTGTTCTTTGCTTCCTTAGCGTATGGTGATTATAACATTTTTAGAGTACTTGTTTGTTCATCAAAGTAGTCCCTGTTAGATCTCGTCTCCCTGTCTCTGTGTGTGTATGTTTGCAAGTGCAGTGCTGTTGCTATGATTATTCCTTACAGTGCCTGATGCGTTAGTACATAAGTAAGCTGATTTTGTTCAAACTGCTTACTTGTGACAGGGAAAAAATGGTCGCATCCCTCGTAGCATCTAGTGCATTTGCTGGAGCTGTTACTGATCCCTCTTCACAAGATCCATTTGGTAGAACTGCTGCGTCAATTGCTTCTAGCTGCGGTCACAAGGGAGTTGCAGGTTATCTTTCAGAGGTTGCTCTCACCAGTCATCTTTCATCCCTCACATTAGAGGAAAATGAGCTTTCAAAGGGGACTGCTGATGTGGAAGCAGAAAGAACTATCAGTAGTATATCAACCACAAGTGCTGCCACACATGAGGATCAGCTTTCTCTGAAGGACACTTTAGCTGCAGTCCGTAATGCTGCTCAGGCTGCTGCTCGTATACAATCTGCATTCCGAGCACATTCATTCCGGAAGAGACGACAGAGAGAAGCTGCTCGTGCTGCTACCACTAGCGGAGATGAATATTGTGTCCTCTCAAACGATGTTCTTGGACTTTCAGCTGCCTCAAAGTTGGCATTCCGCAACATGCGGGATTATAACTCAGCAGCTTTAGCTATTCAGAAGAAATATCGTGGATGGAAATGCCGGAAAGACTTCCTTGCATTCCGCCAGAAAGTTGTGAAGATACAGGTGCTTTATTTGTTTGAAAGCAGAATAGACATTTCAAACCTCATTTGTAACAACCTATAAAATTAAAGATGACAGATCTAAAAAGAAAAGGTGTCACCAATTTAGATGTTATATTTTTTGGCTGCTCTTGTTTCTATTTTGAGAGGGGTTGGGGGAGGGGAGGGGGGATGTTGCAAAGTAGAAAATAATGTGTTAAGCAGAGAGAGGTTGTGACCTTTGTGATCAACATGGCAGGCTCATGTACGAGGNTGCCATGGCAGGCTCATGTACGAGGATATCAGGTTAGAAAGGAATACAAGGTATGTTGGGCTGTGGGAATATTAGAGAAGGTGGTGCTGAGGTGGCGTCGACGGGGTGTTGGTCTTCGGGGATTCCGACTAGAAGAAGAACCCATCGAGGAAAGTGAGGACGAAGACATTCTCAAGTTGTTCCGCAAACAGAAAGTGGATGCTGCTATAAATGAGGCTGTCTCTAGAGTGCTATCAATGGTTGACTCTCCAGAAGCACGCCAACAATATCATCGAATTCTTGAGAAGTACCGACAAGCTAAGGTTAGTGAAGCATCCATCTACTATCATAGTATTGAAACAGTTAAATCTGCTTGATCTGCTGACTTCAACAACTCAAATGTAAACGATGTTCAGCATCTTTTGGTAGATGCAAGTTCACTTGGTAGTTTACATGTGGAAATGCTTACCCACACATTTGGAAATCCTCACTCTATCCCCATGTAAAATTCTGTGAGAGGGAGCATATAGTGAAGTTTATCCACCAGTATGTTCTTATTTTTCCGTGGAACTTTTTGAAGTTCCCCATTTTCTTGTCCAAAAAGTTTTTAGGGTGAAAATAATATATTTTCTAGTATAAAATAAATACGGGAATCGTTGATAACGTGACACTGCATATGTTTTCTGTTCTGGATATGAAGTGTGGCATATGATGGAAAAAATACAGCTTCAAATCTTAATGTGGGTCAATACATGGGATATGGGTAGTTGCCTAGTGGTATCCATTTAACCAAATTCATTCTTTCTTTTTAAACTGAATCCACGGACATTCTTGTGTATCTGTCTCCATTTCCCCTTTTAACTTGTGACACATGGAAGCTTATGCTTCATCGATCTATGTGTTTCGTCCATATCATATCTATTCTGTACTTTTACGGTAATAGTGATAACTGCACCGACTCCTATTCGACTGCCTAGTTTTATCCAATCCCTAGCAGCACAGAAGTTTATTTTCAATTACAACCGACTGTGGCTTGAACCACAAGTGTAGTAAAGCAGTGTAGTTGTTCCTGTAACACCTTTTTTATTCAGAGCAGGGCAAGGGGGATGTGCTTGGCTCCTTGATTGTAGTTTGAAATCAAAAAATCATGCAATTAATCTTCTTCACCATGTCGCAGGCTGAACTTGGAGTGAACAGTGATACAGTATCCACTGCACATGGTGACATCTCCAACAGTGATATATAGGTGCCTAATCAAACAGCGTCTATAGCTTGTGGATGAATTTCTCATTGTCTTCCCTACTTCATTTAATTGGTTATTATGTGTAAAGTATTTTGTAGGTGCTGCTCATAATTTGTATAGGTGGAAACAACTATTTTCTTCATTTTAGTGCCTCCAGGCAAATCAGTTTGAAATTTCTTTTGCTATTGTACATATTCTTATGTTTTTGGGTGCATTGTCCACTAAAGAGGGCGTTGGACGGAGTGAATGCTATTGCTTCTTCTGTTAATAATTTTTTTTATGGAAGCTTAGAAATATTATAAGCGATGGATCTAATGTTTTAGCTGATCTACAAGAGATAAGAGACAATTAATTCCGAGATTAAATTAAAATGAATTTATCCCACATTTGGTTGGGATAAGTTTTAACTAATTTCAGGATAACTAATTCCGTGATTATAATATTTTTTTAATCCCTATGAAAAGATGGAATAATACTTCAGTATAACTAATCCCGAAATAATTAATTCTATAACTTGTTTCCCAACCAAACAACAAAGAAATTTAGCAAGACTCACCAAAACATTGATTATACTTTTGCGGACTCTGATTTCACGAAAATGGTGTAGTAAAAACTTCTACTTTATCAGATAATTTAATTTAGTTTCGGAAACTGGTTTTGATATATCCGTCTACTATTAGGAATTGTTTAAAATTATTCTCGTTATTCTATTGGATCAAAAGAACCCCTACATTCTTACCATTCAAATACAGTACGCCTAACTCAACGGACTAGACACTTGGCACACATCCAAAGCTGTTGTCCATTTGGTCTTATATTAGACCTGATCCCCCTATTATCCGGTACCCGATCCATTAAATTTGACCGGCAAAATACATATTACCCTTTTCATTAAATGTTGAAAAAATAATTAAATTTGACGCTCCATTGTTGAAAAATAATAAAATTGCTCTTTAGACTAAATGCTACAGCAACTCTCACAAACAGTAAGTCAAATAAACACAACAATTACCACCAAAATCCAACATTACAATTTCAAAAACAAAGACTCAATTTTTATACTTATTTTCAAATCATAGATTGAGTTCAAATGTTAAACCATTTAAATACAAACAAATGGACAGAAACCCTCTAATTCTTTCAACAATTTTATAGAAACTAAGGGAAAATTATACAAACCGAACAATCTACAACTTTTAGGTAACTTTCTTCTTCTTAGGAGGAAGCACAATCTCTCCTTTGAAGGTAAGAATTGTTATAATCTGGGACAAACTAGTTGTAGGTATTAAAGTTGCTTTATCTGATTCAAGCCCCTTCAAAAACCCGTGCAAAAGAAATTACTAGTACTGAAGAGAAAATCTTTAATTTCTTCTTGACTGCAGAAAAGGGTTGAAAAAATTTCTTTCTTCGCATTCCAGTGAATATAGCCCAACTCGAGAATTGGGCCGCGAAGGACGGAAGGATTTGAAAGAAGAAGAATGTTAGTTGAATGTGAAAAAAATTGGATCAACAAATCAGAGAAACCCATTTTATCTTCTTAAAATTTCTCAAAAAATCCTTATAATGGTGTTTTCTAGTTTCTTCAGCAAATCAATATTTCATTCTTGTACTCGCAATTATAGACCCAAATCAGTAATAATAAATGAATTTTACCAATATTTTTTGACTTTTTTTTAGATCTAGATTCAAACCTAAAGCTTCAATGTCATAAATGGTGAGTTTCGACGTTTACCATCGGCTTCTTCCAACTAATAGCAGTATAATTTAGATCTAAACACAACAAACAATACAAAATTAGATTTCAATAATGTAAACCCCAAATCAATCATTGAACCAAAGGACTTATTCGAACCCAGACTTGGAAATGAGCTTCGAAACCCGTCAATGGAGGTGCAGCTTTCCAGATCTTCAAATCAAGAGAATGAAGAACCATTTCAAAAGGGTTTAATCTCTATTCCATTAGCTTCAATCGATTTCAATATAAAATGCATTAGATTTCTTTTCTGATGAATGAGAAACAGAGAAAGAGCAAGAACTCAATTTCTTTTGGGTACCAGGTAATAGGGCGGAGCGGGATTAATTTTAGACCAAATGGACCAAATGCATGTCAAGTGTCAGTCAGGGCTATATGTATTTGAATAGTAAGACCGCAGGAGTTCTTTCAATCCAATAATATAAGGAAGGATAATTTTAAACAATTTCTAATAGTTCTAATAGTAGAGGAGTATGTCAGGACCTTTTCCGATTTAGTTTTCCAAGAAGTAGCACCGGAGATTCTAACTAAACGTTACATGTTGACTGACAATATTTTCACGTATTTCAAAATCTTTCATTTATTGTCATGATAGTGTATTTAATTACGGGGAAGTACCTGTGTATTTTACCAATCAATTATAGCTTATGTTCTTTTTTCTTACCTATTTAGGCTATTTTGTATATAATTTGAAACTTATTTTCCTCTATTAACAGGGTATTAAGAAGATGTCCGAATAAAGACTTCGGACATGAAATGTAAGTATACTTCACTTTGAATGTTTAATTTGTCATTTTACTTCCTATTTCCTTTGCTCATATATGTTTTGGTGTTGCAGCTGTGACCCAGATGCTGGAACCAATTCCGGAACTTAAGCAGTGGGTCGAAAGCCTAGTGTCACAGAGACCCTACTCCAAATGTGCCTGGATCGAAGGGCCAACAGGAGGCCCGTAGTCATGGTAGGTTAATTTCCTGGAATGGCTATTGCCTACGCTTCTTCACAAAATTACTCATCATTTTTCTTTTGTAGGTCTCGGGAAGGACGTTACAATGAGACCTTTATCTGGTGATGAAGAAGTCCTTCCCCAACCACCTGCTTCGAAGCAGGCCCAAGAGAAGAAGAGGAAAGAGGCTCCGAGTCCTTCGGGCCCGAAGAAGAAAAGACCGGCGAAGAGATCTTGCAAGCCCGAGGGGTGCCGTTACTATGTCTTCGGAATTAGTCCGCCGATTAAGGGATGATTCCGAAGAAGAGTAGGAAGAAGATAACTCCCAGGTATGGCCCGTGCTCGGGTTGGTGCTTCGACATAAAATCCCCCCGAACCGGAGGAAGTTGACGAGGGAGCTTCAACAGAAATTCCGGAGCCAGAAAAAATCGAGGCCGCTCCATCTCAAACTGAGATGACCGAGGAAGAAACCAGAAGCGAGGCTTCTCGAATAGCTGAAGATGTCCCGAGGGACGATCTCAGAGTGATTGATATTTCTGAGTCCCCTCAATTTTCGGACACCATGATCCGTGAGGCTGCTAACTTGATAGGTCGCTCTTGTGAGGGTTTTCATGGGGCAGTTGACATCCATAGCTTCCTGTATGGGGTGGAGTTCGAAGCTTTGGGAGTTATCACCAATTTTGGTGACTTATCAGTGCCGAAGAAAATACCGTCACCGGATGTCGCTGGGTCTTCATCGATCCTGAAACTGGTGGATCGGTTCCTGGCCCCTAGTGCTAAACCTTATCGTATGTGTACCATAGTGCTTACTGTCCTGGAGGATGCTCGGGTCTTCTCTCCCCCCGTGGGGATCGCTAGCTACCTGAGATGCTTGGTGACCAAAGAGGACCAAGCCGTGATGGATGCAGTGGGTGCCGCTTGTCTGTTCAACGAGGCTTAGCACGCTCTAAATCGGGTAACTTCGAGAGCCATTCCATTATTTTTTTTAAACTTTGAATTGTAGATAATTCTAACATTTTCTTCCTTACTTGTAGGCTTCAGTGTTTCATCACTAGGCCTTCCTTCGAATCCGGGAGGAGCGCAAGGCTGAGGTTTGGGACCTCACTAAGAAAAGTGATACTACAAGCTTCTTTGTCAGAAGCTTCAGGTAGATTTGGTGATGGCTCGAGATGAGCATATTGACATGGCCGAGCAGGTATTCCAAGTGCTTCACAATAGTGAAGATAAGTTGGAAATAACAACTAACGATCCAATTCTACAGGTTCGATAGAGGCTCGAACAGATCAAGGACCTTCAGAGACAAATAGATGAAATACGAGCCGAAGCCGAAAAGTTCAAGGGGTGCATGGACGTCTTAGCTTCAAAAAGGAGGTCGTCCAAGTAGAGTTGGAGTCGGCTGAATCCCAGCTTCGGGTTGCGAGGGAGAAAAACTCGGCGTAAGCCACGAAAATTGAGGAGCTTTAGTCCCAACTGGATTCGACCGTTTCTGATAAGGCGAACTTAGACAACAAACTTGAGGTGGCCAAATCTGAGGCAGCCATGGCCAATACTAAAGTTGATGCTATTTAAGGTTGACATCGAGGCCATTTAGGCGAAGTCCAGGAGAATGGTGGATCATGCGAAATGGCAAGCTCGAAGGAAAGCCCTCGAGGAGGTTCCGGCTCAAGGTTTTGATGTTGTGGCTGAACTCGAGATTGACAAATCAGAGGAGACCAAAACCTGGATCCTGGCTTATCCTGAGAAAGACTCCAAGAGCCTAAGCGGATTCGAAGATTGGGAAGATCTTGAGAATGGAGATGTTTCCTCCGATGAAGACCAGGCAACTTAGGCCTTTGTATTTTTGCTTTCTTTTGTATCTTTTTCGAGGCTATTTTGGCCGTCGTAAATTTTTATTTGGATGATCTGACCTTTGTAAAATGATTTTTTATAATATATATATATACACACACACACACACACACACACACAAAACAACTTAAGTTGTATAAGTTTGAACAAATCCTGCCTTCACATTGTTTAGTTTTGAGGCACTTTGGATTCGGTGTCATCGAGAACTTTTCTCCCGAAATAAGTGATTTCAAAATGTAGTTTTGCCGAGGTTTAGCCTTTAGAACCGGTTATGTATTCGAAGGCCTATTTTTGTTATGATTTTCGGATGTTTCTGAGCCGTGGTGTAGCCCAGTGGGCTTGCTTCCCCCAGTTATCCAGACTTGCCTAAGATAACAGTCCTATAGTGGTATGGTCGTGGCCTTTAATATCTAGATTTATTTAGAAGTTATTTTCCAAACGATAGTCCCAGAGTGAGGGAGTGACCATCCGAACTTTGATTATAATCGACCCTTGAGCCTGTTTTCTTAAGAGATCGAAAGTATGGGATTGTAAAGTGGAAATTTTTTCAAGACATAAGATAATTGCAAAGAAAGTACTTCTCTTAATTCTTGTCAAGAATAGTCACACATGCGTACATATTTTATGTCAGGGCTTGAGCAATCTATGTGGGCACGATTCGTTTTGACCGTTTGGCCCTTACAATAAATCCTACCTATCGAGACCCT